CTGGTATCGGGGAAATAGATCTATTTCGTGAATAAACTCTTAAGTACGATTTTTTTGCAAACCCACCACAAATAAAACATCAAATTTGTAATCCAAAAGTCCAAACGTAACATAAGACTGCATCGAATTTACAAAACACATCTGCCCCGTACTTGGCAATCACAAAACTACTAGCAGGTAAAGTCTTATATTTGATAGTGTTCATCTTTAATTAATAGGATTAAAAGAAAATATCCTATTACTTTCGCAGAAATCACCTCTACTTTGATTGCCGATTCTCGGAGATAAGATGGAAAGTTTAGTCTGAAAGCTTCTAACTCATAAGTATATAACAAAATGGAGCCTCATTGTTGAGTTGTTGGTTGATTCGTTGTACCATCATATCCAGGGCTGGTCTTGAGCTAAAGCAAGTAAAGCATGTGCTTTAAACGTCAAAATCAGCAAAATATATGTAAAAGCTTCAGTGGTGTAGTGGTCGCCATGGATTATGTGAGTGGGAAGTCACAGGTTCGATGCGTAATGTTGCAATTACAATTTTTTTTCAATTTATGTCAATAAATGGGCCAAAATTTTTTTTATTGCTTTAGGTAGCCTATGGGCTAGGGTCCACCCCCTGATCATATCTATCTCTTTCTTTTAAGAGCATGAGTATTGGTGATACAATATGGGTATCATTAAATATAAAATTATTAAAATTTGAGTTAAAGGAAGAAATAGAGTGTTTTTGGTTGAAATAGTGGGGTGTATTGAAATATAAAATTAATAAAATTTGAGTAAAGAGAAGAGATAGTTGATATTTTTGGAGAGAGGGTATCAAATAGTTGATACTTTTGATATTTTTGAAGAGAGAAAGAAAGAGTGTATCAAATGTTTTTAATAATTTTATATTTAAAGAGAGTATAAAATTAATAAAAATTGAGTAAAAGGATGAAAGATAAGGTATAAAGTTGAATAAAAAGAAAAAAGAGTATATTTTTAATATTTGTTTATTCAACTGATACTCTCCTTGAATCAAGTATGTTGATGCTCTAAGGTATGTGTTCCAAATATCGTCCACATCGTATGGAGAGAAAGCAACAATATGCTGCATGAAAAAGCTCCTTTGACCAGTCCAAAATATCCACAAACAAATCCAAAACATATTATCAACTATTAGAACAATAAGAAATCGAAAATATGATGACAGGTTTACTTTGCGATGACTTCACCAAATCGATCCTTTTGATATAACAAACTATGAGTTGAAACAAATAATGTACTTGTTGTAAAAATGGTTTTTCAAATTTGAATAAATTTTACATTGATTAAAAAAATCGATAATAGTTTTCGGTCTTAAAAATATAAAACATTTTAAAAGAAAAAAAGATATAAAGGACTGGTTTTAAATAATTAAATCCGTACTATGTTGGATAGAGTCAGGATTCAGACCTCAATACCTCATATTTAGTTCCAAATCCAATGTACACTCCACATCTATAATTATGGTGGAGATCAATGTTTAATGGTAGTATGTGATTCAAAAATAAAAATCGAACTATATGTATTTGTATTCTTCTGCTATATAATTTTAAAGTTCTACATCTCTAAATTAATTTCAATGTTAAACTACAATACTGATTTATGAAACATATAGTTTATAGATAACATTAGTTTAAATTCGCTTAAAAATTCGATATTTTCTCTAAAGATATCATTCAACATATTTTTTAAATCTTTATAACTATGGTCGTATTCACATATTATATTCCAAAAAAAAAGCTTATAGCATGAATAATTAAAATGATAAGAAAACTGTAATATCACAACCAA